GGCTGAGAGAGAGAAAATTGAGAGATGTGGGGTCAGGTTTTCACAAGAATAAAATCTCTTGGATGGCAGACTGTGTTGGTTAATTTGATGTGTCAATTTGACTGGGCTGAGGAATGCTCACATAGCTGGGAGACATTCTTTCTGGTTGTCTCTGTGAGGATGTTTCTGGAAAAGATTGGCATATGATTCAGTGGACTTTGTAAAGATCTGCTCTCACCAGTGTGGGTGATCATCATCCATCCTGTTGAGGGCCTGAATAGTGCAAAGAGGAGGAGGAAGGGTGACTTTCTCTCTCTTGAGGTAGGACATCTTGCCATTCAACATTGGAGCTCCTGGTGGTCTGGTCTTCAAGCTCTAGGACTTCTACCAGTGGTCCCCAGTTCTCAGGGCTTCAGCTCACACTGAATTGTACCACCAGCTTTCCTGACTTTTCAGCTTGCGGATTGCAGACTGTGGGACTTCTTGGCTTCCATAACCTCATAAGCCAATTCCTATAATAAGTCTCCTCATATATCTGCATATTCATGTATATCTACATCTATATATCTTATTGATTTTTTTCTCTAGAGAACCCTAAGTATTACAATGAGTGACCTTAAAAATATGCTAAGTGAAAGAAACCAGAGAGAAAGCTACAAATCGTATGATTCTATTCATATGAAATGTTCAAAAAGGCACATCCACAGAGACAGCAAAAATGTTAGTGATCGGCAAGGGCTGGGGAGAGTGGGTATTGGGTAGTGACTGCTACTGGTATAAATTTCTTTTGGGGGATGATGAAAATATTCTAATACTAGCAATGATGGTTGTACAACTTTGTGGATATAAAAACCACTAAAAAACTTTAAAAAGAGTGAATTCTATGGTATATGAATTATATCTTGGTAAAAGGAAGGCAATATTGAAGGTAATTCTAGTTTTTCAAAAAAAAAAAGAAAAAAAGAAAAAGATTTTCAAGAATTTGCTACGAAGATGGTATAACTGAAGAAAACGGATTCCAAACCCACACAACCTGGAAATTTCAAATCTCTACTACTAGCTATGTGATCTGGAGCAAGTTATTTAACTTCTCTGTGGCCCCGTTTCTTTATGTGTATGTAAAGTGCTTAGAACAGTTTCTAACACATGGGGAGCACTATATGGATGTTTGTTATTGTAATTGTATGCCATAAAATGTGCTAGGCTGTAGTGGGAGGCAAAAACCAGCATCAAGGAAGCTGTGCTACCTGTAAATGACTGTTAAGGAGGAGCAGAGCAGGGCAGAGTCCAAAGCAGATTGTTTCACTTGGTTTATTGGCTGAACTCTGTTCCATGTTGACTCATGGAAGGAAACTGAGTTTAATGGGAGAGGAGGGAGAGAGAATGTGGGTCCAGGATACAATACCTATATCTAACCTTTCCTGGGTCCTGAAAAAGATCCAAACCTATGTTAGGAGAGAGGGAACCAGAGCAAGGGATGGTGGAAAGTACCAAATAAACTTTCATTGTTCAATTTAAATATATATTAGGCAAAAATCTTGAGGGTTTTCCTCTGGATTTGGACAATAAACTTATGATCTTTGTTCTCTTCCTATCTCTACTGGGATCTTGTTGCCTCTTTCATTTCAAAATAAAATCAAACAAATCTTTAAAGATTTTATTGATTGATTGATTGATTGATTGAGTGTAAGGGGAAGGGCAGAGAGAGAATCTCAAGTGGAGCACAACATGGGGTTCCATCTCATGACCTCGAGATCATGACCTGAGCTGAATCACAAGTCAGATGCTTAACTGACTGAACCACCCAGGCACCTCCAAAGAAAGCTTAAAGTTCATTTCCCTGCCACATTTTTATTCCCAGGACAAATCAAGAAACCAGGACCGTGACTGGTATTTCTAGCAATATTCATTCACATCCCTTTGTTTTATTTTAGTTTTTATTTTTTAAAAGATTTTATTTATTTATTCATGAGGGACAGAGAGAGAGGGAGAGACATAGGCAGAGGGAGAAGCAGGCTCCCCGCCAGGAATCCAATGCAAGACTCTATCTCAGGACCCAGGATCACGCCCTGAGCCAAAGGTAGACAGACGCTCAACTGCTGAGCCACCCAGGTGTCTCAACACATGCCTTTGTTTTAAACTGCTTTCTGCATCTTTGCAGGGTGCATTTACTATTCCTAACTTTTCTGTAGATCTGATTCTTTCTGTCAACATATTGCAAAGAAGGACTAGGTCACATAGTCATTTTGAGGGGATGATAGAAGGTATTACATTTTTTTAAAAGGATAAAGAAAAACTCTGAATTCTCTTTTCCTATGTGAATGTATATTGACAGTACTTATGTACTAAGCATGAATAACTGGATACCCCTTGTGAATAATAATCAATCATACATTTTCTCAGATTGGGGAGTACAGTAAGAATAATGGGGAGAAGAAGCTGAGACTATTGGTCTCCTTACTGCCTCTATCAAGATTGGTTCAGGAACTGGGTAAAAATGTAGCCAGCAGATAGGTGGTATCAACAGAACCAGCCAGAAGGATTTGAGAAATTTAGGGACAGAAGGTGAATTAACTAACTAATTAACTAATAATATATCACTATCTGACATTCTGTTTTATACCTTAGTTTACAGCATTATGCTCTTTGATCAGTCTTATTTAAATATCCCTTCCTCAACATGTTTGTCAGATTCAGAGACCTCCTAACAGGTATGATACTTAGACTGTCAAATCATCTCTAGTTGATATGAAGAGTTTTAAAACCCACACTAACTTTATGATTACTTTAACTTCCTCTTTACACACAAGACTAAAATATAGTTAGATCTACAAATATTATAAATATTTTGACAATGGGTGTTTTGTTTTCTTATTTGGGGTTATTTACATTTACTGATTGGTACAGCTATTTGACAACCTCCCAATCTCCCTGGAGATTGGCACAGGATGGAGGGAGGTCGGGAGAGATTATCATATATTGATCATCTGTCATGGGCCTGGCACTATAGTAGGTATCTTACATCAGTTATCCCACAGAGCTTTCAACTGCCTCGACAGGCAGATATTGTCTCTACCTACACGTGGAAAAACAGAGGCTCAGAAAAGTTAGAATAAGTTATCCACAGGCATGATGGATGGTGGACCTGAGATTCAAACGGAAGTCTGCCTCCAAATCTCCTTCTCTTACCACTAGCCCATAGGAAATTATAGGCAGGGTAGGGATAGGGATGAAAATTGAGAGTTCCTTGGGCTGCTATGATATGGGTAGGAAGATACAGATATGAAGGAGCCTTTAGAATTTGAGTGGTAAGGTGGGATGGCTGGTTGAGGGGCTTGCTCATTGCCCTGACCCTCTTCCAGTGAGATTCATTTTCTGCTGTGCTCTGTGGTTCTTCTCTGCTCTCAGGAGAGAAAGAAGTGTCCTGCTCCCTAAACTAGGACAGGAAGGCATGACAAGGTTAGGTGTTCTGCCTCTGGATGCTTGCTAAATCACCTATTAAACCCAAACTAGAACTTCAAAACTTCTCTTTAACAGCAGGGAGCTGGTGCTGTTATCATAGTACCAGCTCCCTGCTGATCCACTTCTTCCAATTTCCAGACTGCTCAGCTCTGAAGCACAGGGACCCACTTCTAACAAAGGGATGGGCTGCTTATTCCTTGTTGTGCAGAATGACATTCCCAGAGGCATCTTTTTTGTCTTGCCAGGTGTTTGTTGTTGTTTACCTAGGATTACCTTCTGTGTATAGAATCTTTACAGGGACACACCCTGTAAGACACAGTACTGAGGTAAAGGCAATTGAGCTGATTTCCTGATTGTGAAATCTCCTGCCCATTTGTCTCTCAAATGGGCCTGCCTGGATCTGGGACTCATTTATCAGAGTATGAGAAAATATGTGTGTTTATGTGTGTGTGTGTGTGTGTGTGTTCTTGCAATCTTTCGCAGAATATCTTCCTTCTGTCATTTTCAGTATGGCTTTCCTCTCTGCCAGAGGGCAATGTGCTAGAATAGGCTGGAGGAGTGGCAGGACAACATAGAGTTCCTCATTTATGGGGGAAACTGCCAATATTTTTGAAGTACCAGAATCTCCCCACCACCCCTGAATGAAAAGCCTGGCAGAATGAGTAGCAAAGTGGGGGACTGGTCCTTGGAAATACAATGTGACTGAACAATAGCAGCGAGTTGTTTGAGAGAAGCCCCAAGCAGGTGTCTTCTGGTGTTTCCATAAGGTATGAAAGGAGACACAGATGCATCAGGAACAATTCTGTGTTTAGAGGAGGGTAGTAGTTGTGTGTCTTTGGCTTTTTCCTTATTGAGAATACCTTTTCTGGGCTGGGAAAACTGTTGTTGATTAGTGATCTTGGGAAGAGAAAACAATCAGTGGGAGGATAATTTGAGATATATGTTATTTCTGAGCTTTTTAGGTTTGAACATGGTAGATGGAGAATTATGTTATCAAGAACATGAAAAATAGAATGGTAATTATAATAATATAAAATGTCTTGAATTTGTATAACATCTCAAAGGAAATAAAATTAATCTCTGTGATCATATTCAAAATCTGATGGGCTATGTAGTGTTACTGCAATTCTTATCTAGATGTTAGGGGGCCTGTCTTGCAATCACAATGCTCCTCTATAAAGCAAACTTTTCAGGAGGTGCTAGGATAGAAAGTAAGATTCTTCAATTCATCTTTCTTATGTAGCATGTGTTTTAGGAATTCCTGTAGATACGTAAAAATAAGAAACAAGAAAAGCTGATAACAGTCTCATTGTTGAAAGACACTTGTTTAAACAAGGTCAGGATTCCCAGGCACCACAGGAGACTCTCTTCCAACCATTTCAAAGTGCTTTTGAAGCTCTGGGTTTCTAGGAAGGTGGGGGAGGATGAAGATCAGAACAACCACAATTCTTCAATATCTGAGAAGAACAGGAGGACAAGGGATTCCCTGTGGGTAACCTCCTCTTCTCTCTGCCTCATCCACACCAGGAGCTATCACCCTGCACAAGGCAAGTTATCTACATTAGTCAGGTTTTCTGGATTGAAAGATGGTCATCTCTTCAGTGTGCCTTTCCCTTTACTCTTTGTCCTCTGACAAGTGTGCTTCAGGAGAAAGGTGGAGCCTTGGGTGTTGCATAGTGATCCTACTTCTTTAGCCTGTGCCCTATCTCTTGGGAATTCTATCCCTTTCCTGACCCTCATGCTCACAGTGAAAGATTGCTGGTCCTGGAAACTAGACCCTTTCCCTCAAAAAGCAGAAGGTAGAAATAGGATTGAGATCAGACCCAGGAAAATGACCAAACAAAGAAAATGATCCAAGATTCCACGATCTGGTGAGTACTGGGAAAAGTTTCTGATTTTACCTTTATTTTTTTAATACAGTTTGAAGACAGACATGCAGACATTGTGCTCCTATAAGATCCTGGAGAACACACGTACAGGCAGATTCTGTCCTTCCCAAGTTGTGTTGTATTTATTGGTGAAGTTTGGTTTCAGCATTATGCTTTCTATGGTTCTTTTGGATTCTGACATAATTCCTTCTTGACACTATTGGTCTTGTCCATTTGAGTGACAAGTACAGATGTGTAGTAGTTTAAGGAATACTGGGTTTGTAATTAAGAGACAGGGGTACGAAACCTTGCTGTTATTTACTTGCTTTTTATGTTTTTAATTTTTTTAACCCTGGCTTATTCAGAACTTAATCTTTCTGAGCCTGTTTCCTCTTTTGTGTGAAGGTGCCTAGCACAATACCTGGCACATTGTAGTTGCTCAACATATGTTTATTAGAGCTGAAAATAGGAAGGACAAATTGCTTTTCAGAATGTTGAAGATTAAGTAATTGTGGAATCCTGTAGATAGATCTGAACAGTTTTCTATCTCATTTCCAATTTCACATGTTTTTTCCATTAAATGGTTTTTGGTTTTTGTTTTGTTTGTTGATTTTGCTAAACAGCTCAAGGATAAAGATGAAAGGGAGGGGAGGAGAAGTTAAGGTGAGCTAGAAGGCAGACTGCCTCAGTCTGGGGGCTGTTACCTCCATATATTTTACCCTCCGCACCTGAAGTCTTTGAGTCCTTTGCCCCATAGCCCATAGTTATTAATAACTCCCTTACCTGATATGGCATCTATCTGGGCAGATGGGTCATTTGTCTTCATAAAAAGAACATGCTGGCAGACCTACTTGTGTTGATACACAGGCGGTAAGGTTGAGGGTGAGGCTGGTGTAATATTTAGTCATATCTTATGGGAATGGGACCAGGTGTTAGAGGTCAATGAAGGAATTTCTCACAATGTATTGTATGGAATACAGGAGAGGGGATCTCATTTTTAATGTTCTATTTGTAGATGTATTTTGGTATGAAGAATTTCTTCTGGACACTCCTGGGTAACTTGCTGCTCTATGAGACTATATTGTGCTCACTTTATAGAAGTGTTGCTAGTGAGGGTTGTGTTATTCTTGCAATGAAGGTATTTTTGTGTGTAATGAAACAGATACAAAGATGTGGCATGGCATTATGCTTGCATTGTGCTTATGTGTGAGAGTTTGGTGAGTTTATGTTCATAGTTAGCTTAATTTTAGTTAGAATCATTCACCTGTTTGGTCTCCAGACTACAATCTTGCAAATATTTGGGCTGGACTTTACCCCTGCTCCCATTTCACTCTCATTCCTTCTTTGTTGTGTTATTTCCTCCTCTAGATTCTTAGTTCAAGAGGGAAGCTAAACTTTTCAGTATGCCAACAGAAAGAAAAGATTGAGAAGAGAGAAAATAAGGAATGATAACCACAAATGAGGCAATGATATTGTTTTAATTAGAGCCCTGCCTGAGGAGATTTGGCACTGTTAGATGTAGGTATGTGTAAACTATAGGTGAACTGTGTACATATTTTCCAACCAGTTGGATAGAATTATCAGAATAAACAATTTCCTAACTTTACTGGATTCTTGATTCCAGTGGTTTGAATCTAGTAATATATGGCATCAAGGAGAGAAGTGTGGGGTACTGTTTTATATATGTAAGGACTTTACAGTCTAGGTAAGAGAAGAAGCAGTGACCAATATACATTTTTTTCTTTTTGAAGATTTTATTTTTTAGGTAATCTCTACACCCAACACGGGGCCCAAACTCACAACTTTGAGATCAAGAGTCGCATGCTTTACTTACTGAGGCAGCCAGGCACCCCTACATTTTTGTCTTAACACAGTGAGAAAACTGTCTAGATATAATTAAGAGGGATAGAGTATTGGTCATATTGTAAAGAAGTGTTGGTCAAGAACATTGATAGGAAGAGTCATTTTAGAAGGTTTTGGCATCAAGGCATGTCTTTTCTCAGGATGACACAGTGAGCAGGCGAGGTCACGTGGTAATTGAATATTAACTGCAGAGAGAAATGTGATGTTGAGAGGAATATCGTTGCTATGAGTGAATCTGAACATCTGACAAATGTGCTTTGGTGGGCTCTAAAGGTAGTAAGGTTTCCTGTGTAGGTTTCCATGCCTATGTGGGTGGGTATGCCTGGTGTGTTTACCTTAAAAATTCTAGACTCATTTGGTATATTCCATATGACTCTAGTCAAACTGTAATAGTTGGAAAGAGCTTATTGTACAAATGCCTGGAAAGTGATCTACTGAGTGGTCCTCACCACAGCCCTATACATTTGTTTCCTTGCTCCAGCATCCAATTACATTGGGCTTCTAGTTGTTAATAAACCTAGATTCTTTAAAGTATCCATGCACAAATGAACCTTGTTCAGGAAATGTAATAGAAGGTCATACTGTATCTAAATGATCACATTGTGCTCTAATAAGTATGATGTGTAAGTGGAAGGGAATAAGCATGGATTTGAGTCTTTGGCCATGTGCTTATAGTTGCATTTGGCTCACAATGAGCAGTTCCAAGTGAGGATATATGTGCACACAGGCCTTTAAATTTCTTCCTTCAGAATGTATTAGTGGGTGTGTAGTTTGGTTTCTGGGCAGAGCTTCCAAGTTGGAGCTGGCTGCTGACTGACTTTTTCTTCCACTTGTACTGTGGTTAAGAGAGATTATGCTCACTGAACACACCCCAGAGAGCCAAACTCGTTCAACTGGCTGCTCCCTGAATGAACACAATTACATCTGATAATGCACTGAAAAGGAAGTAAGAGGAAAGGAAAACGAGAATGAGAATGGCAGTGAGAAATTTTCAAACAGCTTTTGAATTCTCCTGACTATGCTGATGTTTTATTATTTAAGATCTTCTCCTTTTCCATCCTCTCAAGGCTTTCTGATTCTTGCCCTAGCACCAGTGCTTTTCCTTCTATGTGGTCTTATGGAATTGTGGAAACTTTTTCAATTACCTTTTGCCTTGCCTTTTTTTGGCTTATAAACTAGATGGACTTTGTTATAATTTATTGACTTCATAGATCCCTTGTTATGTACAAACCCACAAATAAGAAGGCGCCTGTCCTCTCCCCAGTTTTCCTCTTGGCTACTCCATTTGTATACATGAGCTTCTGTCAACCAACCACCTGTCTTTCTCCTGAGTTATAAGAAAATTGTCTAATTTTTATCTCTCCATACATAGAGCTCCAGGAATAATTAAAAGGGGATGAAGCTGGAACCGGAAGGTTTCTCTATATGTGTTTCAGGAACTAAGAGACTCTGCCTCATTAAGTCACATTATGGTTATTAGTATCAACAACAGAGCATAACATATGATAAAAGACCACATAATGTGGTAGATAGCACATATGTATAATATCATACAAGCTGTAATTCTGATTTGTAAAATTTTAGCATGTTATCAAATTACTACAAAACTAGATCACATACTTAGGATCACCTAGATAGTGAAAAAAAAATCACCATTTTTTTTCAGATCAGTCAGAATTAATTAGAACCAGGGAAGACTCTTGTAAACTAAGGGAAAAATAAAGTTATAAAATATAAAAGTTATAAAAAATATGTTATATAAATATAACATATATGTTATACATATATAATCATATATACACACATATATAATCATATATAATTTATGTATATGATTATATATATTATATATATCTATATATATTATGTGTATATATATCTATATATGTATATATATATCTCTGAAGTTGTCTTCAGAAAGAAATAACCAGTTTTTGGGAGGTGTAATTTCAAATATATGCTGATCATATAGAATTACGGTGATGTACATAAAGAATCTCTGGCCCAGTAAGCAAGAAAATACCTTACTTGGAGAATTGGGAACTGAATACATGGAGAAGGATGGGGTGGGAGAAAGATTTTTTATGGTATATCACTTTAGTTTTTTATTTTTGAAACTTATGAATATATATGAGGGAATATGAGCATCTTCTAAGGGCTTTGGTGGGCTCTAAAGGTAGTCAGGTTTCCTGTGTATGCTTCCATGCCCCCTTCTCTCTTGATTATCTATCTATCTATCTATCTATCTATCTATCTATCTATCATCTATCTATCTATCTATCTATCTATCTATCTATCATCTATCTAGTTTAAGAGAGAGAGAAAGAAGATGGCTTGATTCTGATATTCCCTTTAACCTGTATGCTGGTAGGAATGAATGCCTGTTTCTGTCTATATATAATGATCAGGGGAAGCTCCAATTAAAAAATAAGTAATACACAGAAAAAAATTAAACCTGCTTGGGATTATAGGGTAGTTAGGTCATTTCCATATAACCCACAGACCACAATTGCTCAAACAGGTGCTGTGAACATGAACTTAAACATTGGAGCAGGGGTCTTGGGTAGGAGGGGAACCTTTAAAATAATTTGAGAAACAATGGCATGAAAGGTAAGGCTGGATCAGGGCTATACTTTCTGTATAGTAGAAAAGAGAAAAATGCCAGGAAAAAACAAAATTCTTCACACTTGAATATCAGGTAGATGGAAAGAGATGAATGGTTGACTCAGAAAATTCCAGGCAGCCATGTACTTAATATCTAATGATCTTTGGTGGGATTTTAAAATTCTCTGTATGCTCCATTTTATTTTTTTCAGAGTACGTCAGTCCTTGGGAATTATTCTCAGTGGTGCTCTGTGCATTCTCCAAGGGCCAAGCAAAGGAGCAGACAGCTGTGTTGGCCTGGGAGATGAGAGGAGCATGGCACGAAAGCTACTGGAATGCAGTCTCAGTGACAAGCTGTGTGGTAAGGACCTATCTACTGATCATCACATGCCTATCTACTGATTCTAGGATGACAGAGACTAAGATCTGCATAGATTCTAGAAGGCCGATGAGTTGACTTCTAGTAGAAATGAAGACAGCATTAATAAAGGGTTGAACACTAAAGGTGTTCTTTGAAGAGTGGTAAGTGCCAATCAGAGATCCAGATGCTGCATTCTTCACCTCAGTAGGAAAAATGAGATACAGAGCTCGCTTGATAGGCTAATATGTAGGGACACTGGGGTTTCTGATTAGAGAGGTGCTCCCAATACTGGCTCCACTGCATGGAGTGGAGGGGAAGAAAGAAGAGATGATCATTTCATGTATGAGGAGCTGAGGACTGGTGGATAGGGGAAGTTGTGTGAACATCAGATTGAGATTCTTCAATCTCTTCCTGCTTGATTTCCTACCCAGTTGTCCGGGAGCAGCAGTATGAGATCATCATCATCCCAACCATTCTGGTAGGCATCTTCCTCATCCTTCTTGCGGTCATCCTGTGGCTTTTTATCAGAGGACAAAGAGCTCAACAGCCGTCTCCTGGACTCCGAGGTAAAACTTAAGCTGGAGCTGGGGAGAGGTCCAGGGAAAATGGAGTAAGATCCAAGTTTCAGTGAGCTCAAGTCTAGAAGGTGAGGTCCCTGCTATGGGAGGGTGAGGCCCCCCCCTCTTGTGGAGTTGAGGCAAGGTGAGCTCTTTGAAACTCAGTATATGCTTGTTAGTTGAAACAGAAGTAGGCAAGAGAGGCCTCATGTGGCCTGTTTCTGTCTTCTTTTTCCTACTGCATTATCAAACATTTGGCCATATGAGTGTCAACGTATTGGGGAGGAAGATTAGTGGTTAAGGCCTAAGGCTTTGTTACCAGCTTTGAAGGATGACATTTTACTCTGTAATACATTCCAGCCATCCTCTGTGCTCCTGGACTCTATAATGAAAAGGAGTAGCCTTCATAACAGTCTTTGAAGCATTAAATAGGAGATGATGTTCTGTTCTGAAGTACCACTGAGCATATAATGAAAGCAAATTAGCTCTCATGAAACTAAGAGTTAAAAGACGGAAAAAAAAAAAAAAGCCTGACAGTGATCAGAAACTCTATAGTGACTGATCCCCATTCCCTCTCAAAATAGTAACTGGGTGATGGCCATTAAGGAGGGCACATGATGTAATGAACACTGGGCATTATAAGCAACTGATGAATCACTAAATTCTACCACTGAAACTAATAATACACTATATGTCAACTAAATTGAATTTAAATAAAAAAAATTTAAAGATCCCAATTCTCTTCTAATTTACTTACAGAAAAACTTCTGAGGTATCTAAACTCACTCTCATGACTTCTGCTTGTCACATTCTCTTCTGAACATACTAAAATAAAGCTCTTCTCCCTACCACTCCACCAAAACAATTCTTTCCAAGATTGCCAATGATAGCTATATTGAGTCCTCATCTTAGCCTGTCAAAAGCATTTGAAACAATTTTGCCCCTTCTCCTTATTTGAAACACTTTATTTTCCTTTTAAATCTGCAGTCACTCCTTAAGTCTTATGGATTCAAACACTCTCTATTCTGATTGTAGACTCCCTTGAACTTCAGATTCATATACTAAACCACCTATTTGGCAGTTTGGATCCAATACACATCTTATACGTAATATGCCCACAGCAAAGTTTCTGAAATTCCCTCACACATGTCCTCTGGCTTTCTAGGGTTCAGTCTAAAATCTTGAAGATGTCATTGACTCCTCTTTCTCTCATACTTTGTATCCAATCCATTAGCAAATCCTGTTATCTCTATCTTCAGAATAAACTCAAGCCACTCTCATTTCTCAGAGATCATTGAAATACGCTCCTATCTGGTTTCCCTACTTCTCTCCCTATCCCTTTATGGTCTGTTCTCCACAGGGCAGCAGAATGATTCTTTTAAGGCCCACATCAGTCCTGGCTATTCTCTGCTTGGAATTAAATAAAATAACAATATTTTTATTTCTTGGAACAAAAGAAGACAGATTTCTTTCAATCACCTTCCATGATCTGGACCTTCTCTGGCCTCATCTCTTATAATTCTCCAACTATGCCACATAGTTCCAGCTGTACTAACTTCATTTTTCTTCCTCAAATATGCCAAATATGCTTCTTCCTCAATACCTTTGCTCTTCCTGTTCCCTCTGTTTGTAATATCGTTCCTGATTCCAGACGGTTTATTCTGTAATTGTTTCCAGGCATTTTTCAAATGTCATCCTATCAGAAAGGCCTTTCCTGACCTTCACATATAAAATAGCATCACTGATGCCTCTAATTCTGCTATTTTCCTTTATAACACTCATCACCTGGTATGTTATCCGCTTTCTCTCTCCTACCACTAGAAAATAATCATCAGAACCTAGACTTTGCCTATTCCCAACACCTAGAACAATTCCTGGCATGTAGGATATGATATTTGTCAAATAAGTGGATAGGTTAATGAATGAATGGAGATTTAATGAGAAGAATGAATTTATCTTTTCCAGTGGAGGAAAATTGAAAAGAGAAAAGTGCCAAATTTTTTTTTGGACTGAGATTCTAGGAAATATGCCATAATTTGACTTTGGGAACATCATAAAGGAGGGGGAATAATCATGGCTTAGAGTTGAATAGTTATCCATACCTTCCCTCCACCTTTAAAAGCCATTTGATTGATTTAAACATTAGTTCCTGTGGGTAGTTACCACCACCTTTTAGATGTCTGTGGTTTGAGTACCTACCCAGGAACTTGCTTAATTGTCTCCATATTATACATATAATCCTAAGAAAGAGAGGAAATGTCATTACCACTTTCCAGAGGTCCATCCTGAGTTGTCTTAGAAGTAATAGGGTTATATTATAAATGTTTTACAAGGTTGGTATTGGTGCTGGTTCATAGAGAAGCATCAGAAGTTCACAGAAGCATCGGCCAGAGAGAAAATTGCTAGAGGAACTTCCTTGCCAGTGTGTTCCAGGCTCTGCTCTCCTGGAGTCCCTACCTAGGGTAGGGAATAGATGACTGGTATGATCCTTGTTCTAGGCACTGGCCCTGTGCCTCCATCTAGGGGCCGAAGCTGGGAGGCAGCAGGACATGGAGGAAGTGTGTTTGTGCCACTTACGGAGAAATCAATGGAAAGTGTCCTACAAACTACCACTCATGCTCTGGCTAAGCTGCAAGTGCCCCGAGAGCAACTCTCTGAAGTTCTGGAGCAGATTCACAAGGGTAGTTATGGAGCTATCTATCGAACCAAGATGCACAGTGGGGACACTGATAAGCCAAAGAGTGTTATCCTCAAGGCTTTGAAAGGTAAAGGGAGAGATGTTTGATTTCCCTTTCTTTTTCTTTTTTACTTTTCCACTGGAAGCCCCAAGCCTGGGTGGTTGGCAAGCTTGCAGACACTTAGATGTTAATCAATAGATAGCTGTGATCACAATCGCGTGCAGAGCAAGATGGGAATAGAAAGTGAAAACTTGAGGCAGAAATGTTTTTCTTGGGGGTCTTTCAGTAGCTCAGTGTTGCCTTTTGAGGCTGATATAAAAACTGGGCATTAGTGCATGAGGATTTGAGGTTGTTCCTTCATTTGTCTGCACTATCACTTTCCCTAATATGCAATAATTATTGCAACTATTTCCTCCCTCCCTCCCTTCCCTTCCTTCCTTCCTTCCTTCCTTCCTTCCTTCCTTCCTTCCTTCCTTCCTTCCTTCCTTCTTCTCTCCCTCCCTCTTTTCTTTTTTTTCTCTTTATATGGACCAGTAGTAGTGGATACATAAAACAGCACAAAGCTGGGGTAAGCAAGAATACTATTCAAAAGGCTTAGGCAGTGATAATATTTGAATGTGAACTCTTGTCTATTTAGGCAGATTAAAGTCTATCCAGTTCTAATGCCTATGATTCTATGTTGCTTTGACAAAAAACAAAAAATAAATCAGTGACATTGAGAATTATCTTCTAATCAGCTCCCTTTCTCTACTTTTTGCCTATACTTACTCTCCTTTGGAGCCTTGAGAATTACCATCTGAGGTTGCTTCTTCCCTCATACCTCCCATTTTATTGGTAATGTTCTGACTGTTTCCCATGGCTCATCATCTGTCCTCTACAGAACCAGCTGGGCTCCACGAGGTGCAGGATTTCTTAGGGAGAATCCAATTCTATCAGTACCTGGGGAAGCACAAGAACCTGGTACAGCTGGAAGGCTGCTGCACAGAAAGGCTGCCACTCTATATGGTGCTGGAGGATGTGGCCCAAGGGGACCTGCTCAGCTTTCTCTGGACCTGTCGGCGGGTGAGCAGGGTAGAGGTGTTAGGAAGGAAAGGCTTGACCTGGCTGATAGTTGTTCACATGTCAAATAGCCTGCTAATGACAAAGCAGAGAGACATTATTGTAATAAAATAACAATGATTATCACCATCCAATAGAACTTTTTATGATGACAGGAATGCTCTGTATCTGCTCTGTCCACAATAGTAGCCACTAATCACTTGTGGCTATGGAGCAGTTGAAATGTGGCTGATGTGACTGAGAAACTGAATTTTAAATTTTACTTAATGTTAAATAATAAACTTTTAATTAGCCACATGTGGCTACCATGTTGGGCAGACAGATTTAGAGTATGAACTTCAGGATTTATTTTCTACTAGCTATGTGACTTTGGGCGAGTCACCTCTCTGAGCCTGAACTTTCTGAATCTGTAAAATGGGAATAATAAGTTATTATTAAAATTAACAGAAACTATGTATGTAAAAACTATTGTTAGTACTTATTGTAATTTCATTGCTGTTAGTCTTAAGTGTGTCCTCTATTCTGTAACATCACTCTAGTATGCCAGTCTTGAGGAGAAATTCAGCATGAATGTCTTTTGTACTTCAAATTCATTTTTAAAAAATTTAAATGTTAAAAAAATTTAAATGTTTAGAAATTTCTAGACTATAGTGCAAGTCCTTTTCCTTACAATCTTCCTACTTCTCTACATATTGCTCTTTTTGAAGTATTGCATGTTTCCATAGTTAGTTGTCACTTACTAATGAATAAGTTCAATATTAATCAAGCCTCCTCAATAGACTGATTATTTTGCTACTAAATGTGTATGACAAAAAGACCCTGTTAATGCCTTCCATCTAGTGGTGCAAATAGGATGATGTGCAAGTCTTTAGGCATTTATACCTTTGTAAGAGGTTATCCATCTATAACTTGTTCTCGGCTCTAACTTCACTATTCTATTTTTCTTTTTTTCATTTTTTTAAAAAAATAACAAATTCCATCTCTACTTGTTATAGATCTATTCAGTCTTTTTTTTTTAAAGATTTATTTATTTGACAGAGGGAGAGGAAGAAGCAAGCTCTCCACTGAGCAGAGAGCCCATTGTGGGGCTTGATCCTGGGACTCTGTGATCATGACCCGAGCCAAAGGCAGATGCTTAACTGACTGAACCACCCAGGCACCACTTTGCTTCTCTATTTTAGACCATCTGCATGCTTTTTTCTTTTTTTTTTTAATTTTTAAAAATTTATTTATGACAGTCACACACACACACACACACAGAGATAGAGAGAGAGAGAGAGGCAGAGACACAGGCAGAGGGAGAAGCAGGCTCCATGCACCGGGAGCCCAACGTGGGATTTGATCCGGGTCTCCAGGATCCGGCCCTGGGCCAAAGGCAGGCGCCAAACTGCTGCACCACCCAGGGATCCCTGCATGCTTTTTTCATCACACCAAACTTCTCTTTCTTTTTTTGCAGTCATTGTCCACTCATCCTTCCGATCTTTTTTTTGTCACCATAATATGCTCTCTTTTCCATGTCCTTCATGGGGCTTGTAGATATGTAACCATATATTTATGTATGATTATTTGATTCCAGTGTCACACTTTAAGTCGCAGAGGCAGCTGACATGTTTATTTTGCTTACTCTTGTGTTCTGAATCCCTAGTACTGGAACCTGGCACATAGTAGTCATTCAATGTGTTGAGTTAACATGTTTAATTAATATCACAGACACACAGTGCCCCAGGAAAATTATTGCTTTATTCAGGGACTATATATAGTCATATATATTTGTCTTTCTTTCCTGCTATTCTGCTTTTCCTTTATCCTATTATTCATCTACCTTCTTTATTGTCTTTCCAGGACAATAAATCATTGTACTTTGCATATCTGAGAATCTCTCATATTAGCCTCTCCTTGAATCTTAGTTCCTATGTTTTGCATCTTTTCTTTAGCCTTGATATCTACATTTAAGAATATCTCTGCCCCTATTTTTTCAAATATGTTCATGTCACTTTGACATAATGCTTCTTTCTTTGTCTTTTTAGGATGTAATGACCATGAACAGCCTTCTCTATGATCTTACAGAAAAACAAGTATATCACATTGGGAGTCAGGTCCTCCTGGCTTTGGTAAGGCTGAGCAAAATGCCAACAGATGGTATGGATTTTTCTTGTTAGCTTGATATTTGACATCATATTTCTCATATTTCTATTTCCAAATGGGGTATATATTATAAAGAGACTCAGATGGAAGTTAAGGGGCAGAAATTCAAGCACTAATAAGCTTTTCTATTCTTTATGAAATTACTTAGATAAGACACTATAACATTGGTAATTCTAGGCTGAAAGTCATCAACTTAGGGTTTATAGAAGGAACAGGAAGGGTTTTAAAAGGTTTCTCAGTCTTAAAGTTCAAAAACCATGGCCAAGAGTTAAATGCTTGACACTCTTACTTTCCCACATGTACTAATATTAAGAGGTGTAAAATGGCGAATAGCAAGCGAGTTGGGAGGAGATGTGGGAAGAGAAACCAAATAGATGAAAGGCTGCAGAGCTAGAAGGAAGTGCACAATATTATGCCTGAAAAACAAGAAAGATGAGTTCAGAACATGTTTGGCTGGAGACTTGCTTTGATACTGAATGTGATGGAAAACAGACTTTAAAAAGAACAAGGAACAAGTGGAAGAGAAGAAATAAGAGGGACAACAGCAAGATCATTCATTCATTTTAAATTAAATAAAGATGTAGGAGAAATAATTCAGTGTTTAAGAGAAAATAAATGTACCTTTACCAGAGTAAGGAAATATAGATGGCAATTTCTTTGAAGTTATTTAGATAACTGTGTTTAAAATTAGCATTTGCTATTTAGAAAAATCAGGCTCTTTGAAGCTATTTTAAGTATTTGATATACCACTCAAAACTGTGTAACCTTATATAATCATTTAGATTTATCTAAACAATACTTCCCTATCTTATCTGACCTAGTTATTTTAGGGACAAAATGGGATGATATAAATTTATTATTATGACACACAATTTCACTATAATGTATATATATATATATCTTGTTTAGGGGACTGTGGCTAGAAACTTGAAACCTGCTTCCTTTTGCAGGGTCTAGCTGGATCCTAACTGAGAGAAATGTAAACTCAGGCAGAGGTCAGGGCTTGACACAGTGGGTGATCATACTTTCCAAACTCAGTATTAATGCTGTTTAGATTATTTGCTCAATTTAGTAGTCCTAAACAATGCAAAAATGTCTGATTCATTATGGTGACTTGGAAGTGTTATGTCATTATCAGTGAGATTTGTTCAGTCAAAAACGTTCTTGTCTTTTTGAGGATTCCTAGGACAGCTTCTCCTTGTCTGTGACTTCAGCCACAACCTCAGATAGCTAACCCATATTTGATCTTATGCTGACAGGAATTTCTCCAGGATAAGCATCTGTTCCATGGGGATGTGGCAGCTAGAAATATCCTGATCCAAAGTGATCTTACTGCTAAGCTCTGTGGACTGGGCCTGGCTTATGAAGTCCATGCCCGAGGGGCCATCCCGGCTACTCGCATGGTACCTCTCAAGTGGCTCGCCCCAGAACGGCTTCTGCTGAGACCAGCTGGCATCAGAGGAGATGTGTACGGTTTGTTTCTGCCCTTTAGACTTCGTCCCTTCTTGACCTAGGTGTCCTCTGGTTCCTGACCATGACTGCATCTGTTGTAAATTCTGTGTGATGTGAAATCTCAGAAGTCAGACTCTCCAGGAGAAATGTGTGTTTTGTGACAGAGCTCATATTTGGCATCTGGCTGCGATCCCTTTTAGTGCCTTTTAAAATATTCTTTCTGTATTAGATTAGCAGTCTTCATTAGGAAAGACAAAAGAAAAATGAAAAGATTATTCCTACCAATATCTAAAGGACTAGATAGTACAGTCCTTTTTACCTGAAGGAGGTGGGTCCACTTAATCAAAAGTTCAGTTAAAAAAAAAAGTTCAGTTAAACCAGGGATTATTAAAATTAAAAAGTAATATACATACTTCAAGTAATTTATTTTGACTTCAAACATATAAATATACAATTATTTGTTGATCTTTGGAGGAGGGCCAAGGCCTTTTTTTTATGAGGGTTGACCCGCTAAGTGAGCTAATACATTGTATTTCTTGTATAAATATAAATAGCATTCATAACACATTATGTTTGAGTTTCAGCTTGCGATGATTCTGAGTGAAAAATTTGAAAAAAAACAACAACAGTTGTGAAGCAATTTAACTGCAGACATTTATTATTATTTTTTCCAATTTTCTACTGTTAGCTTACCCATGCAATTTGACAACGCTTTCTTTTTCAGTAGTGTATTGTTATAGAATACGTTCAAAGCATTCAGCCGAGTTTTCGGGAGCTAGTACTTTTTTACATTTATATTTAATTGATTACATAATAGCATTGTTACATCTGATAGTGTAAATAGTATTGTAAAGAATCACAATTGACTTTTGGTAACCATGTGATTTAGCAGCTTGGAGAAGCACATGGATATAACATAATATCTTACTAGCATAAATGTCATGAGCAGCAGAGGAAATTTAGAATATCAGTTAATATGGTGAGTCAATTAAGAGACTTTCATTGCTGCTTCACTGACATCTGCTTTTCAGTAGAGGTCTGAGAGTAATAAGCATAACTGTTGATCGTTTAGTGGTGATATGATAGAAGAGTGAAATAAGTATGCCTTAAATCATACTGCTCTGGCAAATATCTAGCCCTGTTATGTGTAAAGCTTATTCTGTTAGTGTTTTTCCTAGGTTGGGCAGTTAGATCTATTGAGGAAATAGATAAATGATAAACCTCTCTGGGACTTGTGCTAAGAATAAGGGCTAAAATTTCAGCAGGAGTGAATGGAAAGGATGAAAAAGATGCAGAAGGTAATTTCTTTGGGTAGATGTGCTTGTGTTTTTGCATGAACACATACACACACAATTTAGCAAATTATAGTAAACATCTATGAATGTGAAATATAGAAGAAAGGAGACATAAATCCAGTCTTTAAGGAGATTAAACTTGAAGGGTATTGAACAGAAATGCTTTCTAATTACTTTGCTTATGTTACAAGACACTTTCAATTCCCCTTCATTGCCTTTATATGATTCTTACTGAAGGACCCTGATAGTTTAAGTGAGCTCTCTTTAGGAAAAAAGGCAGAAATAGAAATTAAGTAAATGGCTTTGTTTCTTTCACAGCTGGTCTTTTGGGATCCTGCTTTATGAGATGGTGACTCTAGGTAAGGCGGATCCCTAAAGTAGTACCTGTATGCAAATAAACAAGTATGTTTGGGGGATGGCATATGTTATGGAAAGAGGTTTAAACTGGGCTTACATGAAATCACTCTCCTCTATTTACCTTTCTAATTTTTGCTTTCCTTTTCTTTCTTTTCCTCAACACTTTACCAATTCCAAAGATGTTTTAAAATCCTAATAATAATTCCAAGAGTGATTTTGTATAAATACATTGTCCTTAGATTTATTAATCTATTTGATGGAGAAAATGCAGTACTTTTCCATGTTTGGGGAGTGGAGAGCTGTTCTCATTTCTCACTTTGCGTTATTACTTTCATAAAGACTCAACATTTTCTTGAATGATCAGTTTTTTTCCTCTCAAACACCTTTTTTCATCCCCCAAATTCTCTAAGTTATTTTCTTCCTTGATCACTAGGGAGCAGCTATATTGTATCTAGTATCTTTCCTTTGGCTCTACCTTTTGCAAGCAATTAGCTTGGTGGATGAAGTGTCATGATATAGTTTATATTCTAGAGGACTTAAAGTTCCTTTCCTACTCTCATTTTTTTCCATCCCAACAGGGGCACCACCATATCCTGAAGTCCCTCCTACCAGCATCCTACAGCATCTCCAGCGAAGGAAAATCATGAAGAAACCCAGTAGTTGCACACATACCATGTAAGTGGCTTTTAGGGCCTACTCTTCTCTTATTATGACTCCCTTTTTTTTTAAGATTTTATTTATTTATTCATTAGACACACACACACACACACACACACACAGAGGGCGGGGGAGAGATAGATGCAGAGACACAGGCAGAGGGAGAAGCAGGCTCCATGCAGGGAGCCTGATGTGGGACTCCATCCTGGGTCTTCAGGATCACACCCCAGGCTGAAGGCAGTGCTAAACCGCTGAGCCACTGGGGCTGCCCAACAACTCCTTTTTGATCTCCATCAACCATGCCCTTTTAAAGTGGCTCAGATGATCCGTAGTCCACCTTTATGTGCTAATATAAAGCCTTAGACAAACCTATGCAGTAAAATACATCTGCTCATATATCATATATATATATGTCCTTAAATCTGTATATATGTATGTGTACACACACACACACACACACACACATAGTGTTGAGGCAACTACTGAAAACTATATCAGCAATCTAAGTTGATAAAATTTAGTTCTTCTAGAAGCTTCTAAAATAGGTAAGAAGTGGACCAAATCCAATGCAAATACATTAGTGTTTTGTCTAAATGTTATCAGTCAGAGACTGCCAGCCTCAGTTCTAATATAGCTGCTATAAAATCCATTATTCTAGAGTAACTCACTGGCTCTTATTTGGTATATAACTTTTATAAAATATTGACTGTTTTTCCCATTTCTGAGCAAATTAGAAGCCAACCAGAAGAAGGAGGGGTAGAAGAAATTAGAAGGATGGGAGGAGCATCCAATAATATCAGCAGAAGGGGACAGCTGATGAGTCAGTGCAGAGGCAGAAAATGGAAAAGTTAAAAATTATACACAGTATTTTGTAACCTATAAATTACAAAAAGGGATTGTTATAGAATATAAGAAAAAGTTAAATAAAATGTAAGAAGTCAGAGGAGAGTATATTAATATAAATTTCTGATAAGATTTTTGTTATAATTTTTCAGCCTTGAAAGGGTAGATTTCCATCAACTGAGTTTCCCACCAATAGTTACTGTATTGAGCAGATTATAAATGTCAAATGTCATAACTATATACATACATATATATATACACACATGCATATATATAGTATAATACTGCCTGGGTATACTAGAATGATTGTTGAAACATATTTTTTAAAGATTTTTTTAAAATTTTTTTTATGATAGTCACAGAGAGAGAGAGAGAGAGGCAGAGACACAGGCAGAGGGAGAAGCAGGCTCCATGCGCCGGGAGCCCGACGTGGGATTCGATCCCGGGTCTCCAGGATCGCGCCCTGGGCCAAAGGCAGGCGCCAAACTGCTGCGCCACCCAGGGATCCCTAAAACATATTTTTTATAGGCTTTATTATCTATGTGTAAAAATCTGTCCTTTATATTAGGGGAGGGGAGACATTTAACCAATAAAGTATCTGCAAAAACCTGGGGTAGCCTTGTTTTACTCCAGTCCTGTTCAGCTGAGCATCTGCCTAATTTCACCCCATCAATCTGACATGCACAGATTTATAGGACTATTACTGGATTTTGGAGAATTTAATATTTGGATGAGGACATATCTGAAACAACCTTGAAAAATCAACATAAAGTGGGAGGCAACATAAAAGAAAGATTTTGAAAAGCTCAGACTCACATCATAGGGGTAAAAAGACACTCCTAGTCCTGCTACTTTATGGGACATTGTTTGCTTATCTTAAAATAGGTATAATGATGATAATCCTACCTCAAAGTTATTGTGAGGCTAAAATAATGCATGCTCAGTTTCACCACCATGCCTTATAAAATAAGTTCTTGCTAAATGTTATCAGTGTTATTAAATTAGCATCTCTTACACTGTCTCACTGTACTCTTTACTGCAGAAAAGAGTGTGGGAGACACAGTGTGGGCTGAGGCTTATAAGGGAAGGTTGCATAGAAGGATTTAGATCTAAAACAAAGCTGTAGGAAATGACAACCATGGGAAAGATACTCAGGCAATTGAGCATAGCATGAGCAAAGACAGAGTTGGGTGTTGACAGCCACATCTTAGGCATAGCAAGACACTGACTTGGCTGGGGGAAAGGGGTTCAGTTAGGCAAGGTCTTTGAGGATAAGAAGGAATATTATTATCTGGGAAGACTATGAGAGGACAATGAGAAGTAGATTAAAGAACTGCAAGGGTTTGTTGTTGTTGTTAAGGTTTGTTAGGAGAAGAGACATATTCCTCAAACATTTGTCTTATCAAGGAAGTTAGTTTCTCTTGTTCCCCTTTCAGGTATAGTCTTATGAAGTCCTGCTGGCGCTGGAGTGAGGAGAACCGCCCCTCACTTCAAGAGCTACACTCACGCTTAGAAACTGCTGCTCAAACTGCAGATGACAAAGCTGTGTTGCAAGTACCAGAGTTGGTGGTGCCTGAATGGTATGCAGCTGTGGCTGGTATCAGCATGGACAGCCTCTCCTATAGCTACAGCATCCTTTGAAGATCCTGGGGAAAGAATATTTATGTATGATCATATACTATTGGAATGAATTCCTCTGAGAAGAGAGAATAGCTTTCTAGTGAGACATAAAGGGAAAAATAGGATATTCCCCTACACATTTCCCTAGTTATCCAAAATGGTGCTAGATCAGGAAACATACTCCATATACATGCCCTGGAGACTGAGAAGTCCAGTTTCATTTCTGCCACCCCAATCCTGAAGACCCAGAGTAGATGTGGTGGAGAGTATCAATGCAAAGAAAGTTTAGAAATCTATGTGTCTGGCATTGCTAAATAAGCTGATCTTCCCACACAGGCTGGTTTCCTCTTGAAGCATATTTTTATTTAGATTATTATTGGGTCCAGAGAAGTTGGAATCAACTGAGGGAATAGAGAGCTGATAAAGAAGTTGATGAGAAAGAAAATCAAAAGTTATTTTTGCTCAGGAGTATAGACATGGATCAAGGTCATCCTTCAAACAGAAGGTGGAGGAAGGAGATAAAGTTCTTCAGTCCTGGTCTGTTCATGCAGGACAGGAGGACTATGAAAGAAAACGTACGAGTTTCCTTTTGGGTATAGATTAAGAGATAGGTGGTCTCTTTTTTCATCTAATTATGAGACAAGTGAACTCTGCTGGTACTACTTTAACTAGAAGAGAGTCTATTAGGCTGGTAATGAATATACAGTTGACCTTTGAACAACATGGGTTTGGACTGTGTGGGTCCACTTATACATAGATTTTTTTTCTTGATAAATACAGTGCAATCCTGTAAATATATTTTCTCTTCCTTATGATTTTCTATTTTCTAGATTACTTTACTGTATGAATACAGTATATAATACATAGAACATACAAAATATGTGTTGACTGTTTTTGGTAAGGCTTCTGGTAAACAGTCGCTATTACTAGTTAAGCTCTGGAGTCAAAAGTCATATGCAGAGTTTTGACTGTGCACAGATAGGCACACTTAATCCCTGTATTGTTCAAGGGTCACCTGTACTACATATGGATTTAATAAGTAAGAAATGTGAAAGCCAAGCAAGAATGCTTAGTTGTCTAGAAAGCCTTTAAAAGGGTTAGAAAATGATGTAATCTGAGACAGAAGGCTGGTAGTTTCTGATTCAAACATTCATTAATGTATTGTGAAATTTATTTTGTTAAATTAGTATTTATTGAATAAAAGTTGGATTTTCTAGTATACAGCTGCCCAAATCTCTACAACAGGGAGGAGAGAAGTAAACAAATGGAAGTTCATGTCAACAGAAAAATTCAAGACAATCTACATTGTCAGAAAACTGATTCCTTATGTGTAAAATGGAGATAATACCTACCTCACAGGGTTGTTGTGAGGACTGAACAAGAATATATATTGGTATATATTTGGCTCATATGTGCTCAATAAATGGTGATTTTCTTTCTTTTTCCCTTCCTCTCCTAGAATATTTCATATCTTTTACATTTAGAATCTACTGTAGCCAGGATGCCTGTGTAGCTCAGTTGGTTGAGTGTCTGTCTTTGGCTCAGGTCATGATCCTGGGGTCCTGGGACTGAGTCCCACATCAGGCTCCCCACAGGGAGCCTACTTCTCCCTCGGCCTATGCTTCTGCCTTTCTCTTAAGAGTCTCTCAAGAATAAATAAAATCTTTGGGTGGCTCAGTGGTTTAGCGCCTGCCATTGGCTCAGGGGATGATCCTGGAGTTCTGGGATCAATTCCTGGGATCGAGTCCCACATCAGGCTCCCTGCATGGAGCTTGCTTCTCCCTCTACCTGTGTCTCTGCCTCTCTCTCTCCCCTTGTGTGTCTCTCATGAATAAATAAATAAATAAAATCTTAAATAAAATCTTTAAAAAATGTATACTGTAGCCAAAAAGAGAATCTCAGTCTGTCAGTCACATACTGAAGGATGGTATGGGACAAGTACCACATGACTAAAAAAATAAGCTCATCATTTTATATGAGATCCTGGATGATGATAGTAGCCTCCTACTATTTAAAAATACTGAAAATACCATGACGATGACAATTTACTTGGACATGTGATTTTAAAGAATACTCTGAGTGCTCTGGGAGACACCTAAGGCTGCTGTAGGAAAGATAACTGGTAGTTGAAAATTTTGTAGACATTAGAATCCTAATGAGGTCATGATTAATCATCCAACTGAATAATGATTCTGGCTCCCGTAGGAATACCACACTAGTAAGGATTTAAATGCGTGGGTGTTAAGTTGCAATAGGGAGAAGGGAGGTAGAGTGGCTTGGTACAAAACAATCAAGTCCTATAGAATCTCACTGTTGTTGCTTGGCTGTTTGATTAAATTTACAAAATATTTATGTATTAATTCAAATATTTTAAGAAAGGTGAGTTAACATTAGGGCCAACTGTGCCAGACACTGTTCTAGGTGTTGGGCAAAACAGAGAGCTTTGATTACAGTCTAGAAATAGATTTTACTTATATATTTGAGTGGGTATAATACAAATAGTGGTAAGTGCTATGAAGAAAAACTATAGTAGAAGGAAAAGTAAAATGTAAAATGAAGACCTCCCTGAAGAAATGGCATTTAAACTCACACCTTAGGGGTAGGTAAGTGAGCCTCATAAAGAGAGAGAAGAGCCATCTGGGAGAGGAGAGATGGACTATGTGTGTGAAAACTCTGGGGCAAGGAAAAAAGCATACTTTATTTGAGGAACTGCAAGTAGGGAAGTAGGTGGGGGCATAGTGAGGTTAGGAAGAAAATGATGCATAATGAATGAGAGCATTGCTCTTTCATACTGTATGTTACTAGTTATTTTGGTAGGAGGGAAAGCAGTAGATAATTGCTATTTAAATATTTTTGCCCTTAAAATAATAAATATTTTTGCCCTTAATTTTGTTGTCCTGGATTAGGCTGAGAAAAATGGATACAGTAATTGTTTAATCTAAGAAAACTGGGTCTTTCCCTTATTTTTTTTGTCTTTTTTTTTTTTTTTTTTTGTCTTTCCCTTATTTGGCCAGGCTTTCTCCAAAAGCGGGATTATATTTTTGGCATTTTAACTGGTCAGCCAAACCAGGTGTTTCTGAGCTAAGGAATGGAAAAGAGAATTAAAATATTTACCATTCAATTAAGTTGAATTTGTGCTAGCATTTGTTTCATAGTTTTGATTCCCCTCTCCCCAGATCTTTCTTCCAATTTATCCTTTATTGGTTAAAAAAGGTTCTAACATAGCTAGGAACTGAGCAAACACCCATCTGGAAAAGTGTCTAATTGAAAGTTGAAAATGTAGTGTAACTTAGAATAGTATGAACTAGTAGTTTCAAATCACGCTTATGCAGAACACTAGGGTTTTCCATGGTAGATTTAAGTGTTTTGTTATTAAAACTGAGTAATTTTTTCACTAGTTTTGAAGAAAAGTAAGCTAATGGATAGAATGTTTTTTTAAAAAGATTTTTAAATTTATTTATTCATGAGAGACACACACACACACACACACACACACACAGAGAGAGAGAGAGAGAGAGAGAGAGAGAGAGAGAGAGAGAGAGAGGCAGAGACAGGCAGAGGGAGAAGCAGGCTCCATGCAGGGAGCCCGACATGGGATTCCATCCTGGGTCTCCAGGGTCATGCCCTGAGCTGAAGGTGGCGCTAAACCGCTGAGCCAACCCCTGAGATAGCAATTGTCTATCTGCCTGGATAGAATCTTCTTAATCTTTACCTTGCTATAATAATTTTTATTAAATTTTTGCTTTATCATAGCTCATTTAAACAAATACGTATGGCAAATGCTATGGAAAACTGGGAGGATAGCCTATTATACTTAATTTAGAGACTGTTTTTACTTGTTTTGGAAGAGTTAGTAGTCATGCTATGTGTTAGAAGTGTATAGCATTGTCATATACTGGAAAAAATCATTACTTTGAATACTGGAATTAAATATATCATCATATCATAATAATCTAGCAATAGTGTTCACCACATATGAACATATCTGGGAAAAATGGTGTGAAAATTTTGGTGTTTCTGCATGACAGTGTTTTAAAAAAGTAATATCATCAAGTGGTTAAAAAGACATTATGGTTAAAATTTCATAGAGAAGTCTATTTTATTTTATTTTTTAAAGATTTTATTTATTTATTTATTTGAGAGACAGAGGGCATGCGCGCATGAGCAGGGGGAGGAGAAGAGGGAGAGGGACAAGCAGACTCCACGCTAAGCATGGAGCCCAGACAGGACTTGATCCTCTGACCTGAACTGAAGTCGAGTCAGACACTTAACCGACTGAGCTACCTGGCTTCTGGAGAAGTCTGTTTTAGAAGAAAGAAGAGAAAGGTGGGTGGATGGCATAAAGGCTGAAACAGACCATCTCATTCTGACAATAAAAATTTTTAAATTAAATCTAATTTAAATCTAATTTAAATTAAATCTAATTAAATTTTTAAATTAGAATGTGGTTTTAGATTATATAATATTCTTGATTTATTACTCTGATCCATTTAATGGAATGAGATAGCCCTGGCAGCTTTTGTTCTGTAAATAAAAATTCAAACTATTCAAAAGCTACTGATAAAATACAACAAAGCCTATCCTCTCCAGTATTTATCTCAGGAAATTCAGAACTTATTTCTGAAAATTTTAAGTAGGATTTATTTGATAATTTTAAATAATGAGGCAAAAGGCAAAAGAAAAATCTGAGGACAGAGATCTGAGAGATCAAAGGAAAAGAGAATTTTAGTTGCAGGTAAAATCAGAATATTTTAACAGACTAACACTTATAAGAAATAATCATCTCTGACCATAGCCCTCTGACTTGATTCATTACTGTGAAGCTGAAAGCAATAAACTTAAAATCTCAGGGGAAAATAATTATTTTTTCAATGAATATTGTGTATTTGATTAAATCATTAAGCCTTAATTTTGGCTAGAGTTGGAAATCAAATGCGTATTTCTTGGCTATTATATTTTTAAAAGATTTATTTATTTATTCATGAGAGGCACAGACTGAGAGAGAGAGGCACAGACACAGGAAGAAGGAGAAGCAGGCTCCTCGCAGGGAGCCCAATGCAGGATTTGATCCCGGGATCATGACCTGAGCTGTAGGCAGGTACCCAACTGCAGAGCCACCCAGGCGTCCCAATTGCAGGATATTTTAAAGCTAACCACAGATAGGTTGCCTTAGCGAAGACAGAAGTAGTTATTCATTTGGCTTCATTTAAGCTGCCCAAACATTTATTTTCCTAAATAAACTCTGGTAATATTAGTAAATATGCTCTAATTTGAACCCTACAGCAACTGAGATGGAGATTTCTCAGTTTGAAATATATTTTCTGTTTCCAGCCCAAGTTAAAATATATGAAATGGTTCTTACAAATGAAATATTTCATTGAACTAAAAATTCAGTTCCTGATCTCACCAGCCACATTTCAAGTGCTTAAGAGCTATTCAGAACATTTCCACATCTCTGTTGTGTAACACCCAAGAAGACCACAAAAAACAAATGCTTTATCACTTTGCAATCCTTATAAGATACAAGAGATAGTAAGGCTTATTATTATTTTTTAAAGATTTTATTTATTTATTCATGAGAGACCCAAAGGGAGACAGAGACACACAGGCAGAGGGAGAAGCAGGCTCCCTGTGGGGAACTCGATGTGAGACTCAATCCCAGGACTCTGGGATCACACCCTGAGCCAAAGGCAGATGCTCAATCACTGAGCCACTCAGGTGCCTCAAGGCTTATTTTATTTTATTTTTTTATATATAAAGGATTAAGTACATATATTTTCACATTTCATTTTAAAAACAGAGAGGGTTAGAGAGGATTAGTCTTTGCCTCAGAAGTCTTTATAGGGGATAAAAAAAAGTAAGCGGCCTATAAAGATCTTAACACTGTGCATTCCACACATGCTACCTACATAGTCTTAGTTCTAGTACCTGTAGCTCTCTTACATAAGCATGAAGATGAACACTGGCATGTGTGCCAAATATCTGAAGAACATGCAGTAGGGAATCTAAAGATATTGAATGATGCTCCCTGCAAAAAACCAAGCCAAATGGATTACTGCTTGTATTTTCAGAGCTACTATGGAATATTGTGGCCAAATTTCTGTGGGCTATTCTTGTGGTAAGTACACTGACCAACTCATCCCAGTTTGCCTGGGACTTTGCGGGCTTTAAAACTGAAAGTTCCACATCCCAGGAAACTCTCAAATCCTGGTCAAACCGAATGGTTAGTTGACCTTAACGATAAGGGATAGTGCTTTATGTGTCTTGTTTATTTTCCATAATGGCAGAACTGAATGGCAGAACTGAATGGCAGGGACTGAATGATTTCTATATTAACACTTATACAATGATTAATACAGATTTCTATATTGACGATATATATGTTAATACAGATTCAACATAATCTGGCCCAATCTGCCTTTCTAGTTTTTCTACTCGCAAGAATCTTATGTGTTAACTATAGTGAATTTCTTCGCTTTCCCAAATCACACACTATGCCTTTGCTTAGGCTGTTTTTTTGCTTAGGCTGTTTTCTGCCTGGAATGCTTTCTTTCCCTTTGAACATATACCAAATTTATTCAAGGAGGTCTAATTTAAATAGTAGGTCTGGTCATAAGCCTTCCTTGATACTTCCCTTTCTTCAGTTTCCCCTAGTCCCCAATAAAATGACTTGCTTCTGCTGTACTACCAGCATTTAAGAACATCCTTTCTTTTCTTTTTTAATAACTGATAACCAATTTATTAAAAAGGTTGATGTAAGCATCTGCAATGGTGACTTCAACCTCACCTTCTAGCTCAATACTGATGGAAGTAATTTGCTTAATAATTTCAGAAGGGCTGTGCAAATCTATGAATCGCTTGTGGATCCTCATCTGAAAATGATTCCAAGTCTTAGAACCTGGACCATAAGGAATTTTTCTTATAGTGATTCTCAGGAGCCTTGGTAGGCATCTAAACTGGTCCTTACACTTTGAGATTCTTTTCCTTTGTGCCTCTGATCAAGTCAGTACATACCTTCTCCAAAGACTTTAGGTTGCAGCTGGTTAGGTAATTCTAATTCTGTGAATTGCTACCTCTGGTTCCACGGGTGTTTTCCCGATGTCTTTAAAAGCCATGACTGCAGCTTGGCTCCCTGATGAACTTGTTCCTTTGGGACAGGGAACAGCAGTGAGTCAGGAGTTGAAGCTGGGTGTACAAAGTTCTGCTATTATTGCACCTGTAATCTTCTTCAAAGAGCTAAAAATATTCTTTCTTTTAAGGTTTGCCTCCTCGTGTTAATACATGTCTACAGGATTGCTTTCTTCTCTGGACTAACAGTATAAAGGGGTCTATTATTATTACCAGTGTCTGTCCATTTCTGGCACATAAGAAATGCTAAATGTTAAAGTCATTATGTGTCTTACAAATTTTAAAACTTATTATACATTTATTATCTCATTTGATCTTCTCAGTAATTCCTGAGCTTGGCAAAGTTGATTGTAGGATATTCACTCGGTTGGTGAACAAACAGGCGTCAACAGTGACTAAGTAAACCACGGTTAGTAGAGGTAAGTGATGGGAATGAATCCCAGGTCTTCTGACTGCCACTCTTTCCTCTATATCCTGCTGAAGGTTAAAGGTCACCCAACAGAATTACTCTGATGGTAAAAACAGGGTGATCAATAATATCTGAAAAGCAGACTGTGTATTAAGTTTCTTTCCACTTCCTCCAAAACCCATTCTATACTGGAACACTACTTTAACCTCCCCAATTTAATTCTTTCTGGTAAGAATCGTCGGCTGGGGCGCCTGGGTGACTCAGCCAGTTGGGCATCTGCCTACCGTTCAGGTCACGACCCTCAAGTCCAGGATGCAGTCCCAAACTGGGGGGGGGGGGTCCCTGCTCAGCGGGGAGTCTGTTTCTACCTCTGCCCCTCCCCCTGGAGAAATAAAATTAAAAAAAAAAAAGTGGGCTAAACCATTTGATCTTAAGTCACATTCCCCAAACTCCACAGGCTACCACAAGATCAACCCTTACTGAATGATGGAAGTTTTACTATTAAGAGGAACTCTCTTAATACAGTAAATGTCAGAGATTTCTAGTTTCAAAGCGCTTTTCAAATTTCAGACCTCTTGTCTGATGGATTCTTTCTACTTCGCCTCTGTATCTATTCTAGGTTCAATCATTGTATAAAGGGGAAAGCCCCGGTTAAGAATCTAACTTCAGGAAAGGGCGCTGGTCCGGGTCTACCATTCTGATTCTGGGCTGTTTCTTTTTCCACCAGATAAAGGGGAATGATGCCACACCCACCTCGTGAGGACGGGAGGCCGCGAGAATTAGAGATTCGAGAAGGAAAAGCGACTCGCAAACCTTCATTCTAAACCCTTAAAAAATTATTAGTTTTGCCAATATAATATGATCTACTTAATTTTGGGGGCGAAAATGGTCCTCCAACCTTACTTAGTTAAGCAAAGTTCCTATCGCCCCGGCGCCTCTGAGCAACTAGAGAGTCCGCCTCCCCACGGTCCTCCAGGGACCGGGGAGCGGAAAGGCGCGCCCGCAGTGACGCATTTATCCCGCGCGATGACGTGGCTGCCAGGCGCCCGGCGGCACGTTGGCCAGGCCTTGGGCGGGCTTCAGGGGGCGCAAACATGGCTATGGCCAGCGATTTCTACCTGCGCTACTACGTAGGGCACAAGGGCAAGTTTGGACACGAGTTTCTGGAGTTCGAGTTTCGGCCAGACGGTGAGCAGCGGAGCGGGGCGCCGCCGCCGCCGCCGCAGCCTAGCGCGATGCGCGGCTGGGGGAAGCGGGGCGGAGAGGACTCCGAGGAGGCGGGGTGCGGTGAGCCAGCGTCAGTGGGCTTGCAAGTCTGTCGTGGGGGCCGAGGTCACTGCTAGAGCCGGAGTAAATACGAACTGAAGACTCTGAGAAGCATAAGTTGGTTCTCTGCATAAAAGAAAATTCACGGGTGTAAATGAATTCAGAAAATCTAATCCTGCCAGGTACTGAAACCTTGAACATAGGATAATGAGAATCCTACGTTCAGCGCACCGGAAGAGACCTTAAAGCCATCTAGTTTACTTGACGTCATCCTTGAACATTTTAAAGAACATCCCACCACGCCCTGGTCCAATGGATGCTTAAAATCTTTCGGGGACCGGTAATTCTCGGACTCCCCATTCAACCATTGTATTCGTTCAGGCGCTGTCTGTAAGGCCACGTGTCTAGGAATAGGAATGAGACCCACTCTGAAGAAGGAAAAGCTCCACCTATGGAAGAATGGGTAGAATGATGTGGTTTGGGTGATTAAGTATAGTTGTTCCCATAGGATGCGTTAAGAATACAAACGAGGGGAACGGTTAGGGCTACATGTAGGCGTCAAGGAAAGCTTCCTAGAGAAGGTAACAGTTGAAATTGTAGCTGGTATGCAGGGCTATTCTGGGTTCCCAAACAGACCAGATTGGGGGCGCGCCGCTGATAAAAGCCAAAGGCAGAGAATCTACTGTTGGTGAAACAAGAAAGGAATTTAGTTCAGAGAGGCCGGCACCAAGGAGACCATTGACTAGAGTCTCAAACACTCTCTCTACATGCCAAAATGCCAAAGATACTTGCCAAAAAAAAAAAAAAAAAATGTGGGGCAAAAGTGGGTTTGAGATCATGGTGGAGGTAGCCCAAAACCTCTTTCAAGATGAGTCTTGAAATGAGAATAGACATTTTTTTTTAAAGATTTTATTTATTTATTCATGAGAGACACAGAGAGGCAGAGACACAGGCAGAGGGAGAAGCAGGCCACATGCAGGGAGCCCGACATGGGACTCGATCCCAGGACTCCGGGATCACGACCTGAGCCGAAGGCCGACGCGCAACCGCTGAGCCACCCAGGCATCTCCAGAATAGCGATTTTCTTGGCCTGTGAGGGAAAAACAACAACAAACATTCAGACCGTTGGAAGTAGCATGAACAAAGGATAAGGTGGAAACTGCTGCCTTGTAGGTGCAGCATATTTTGTTTTGAGAGCCCTGATTCTCTTTAGAGAGTTATTGTATATTGAACTCTCCTTAGAACCAGGACAGTCCACCTGGGTAGATTTTTCTGTCTTTGAATGCCCGTTAATATGCTGGGCAACATGTAAATACAAAAATTGAGGGTACAATAATGAGCAAGTCTCTTCAACTTCTCTGAAGGAGTTTTGCTTTGGGTAACAAAGATGTAAAACTAGCCATAAAACAGTGTGGATATTAAATGATGTGTTATGCTTTGGACAGAGTTCTGTGAGTGAAAGATAAAGCACAGAAGCATCACATATTAGGGAAGGGGGAATAGTATCAGACATATAAAGAAACTCAAAGGAACTACAGCCCTGCAGTTCAGAAACCTTAATCACTATTCTCCTATGTTCTTGCCATGTCTCTTCTAAATTTAGCTAAGGAGCCAAATTTACCTGAATTCTCCATCTAATCTTTTCTTAGGTGATACTCCTTTTAGTGCCTTTGCTTGTGAACAGCTTTCAGCTTGCCTAGATCATGTTTAGTCACATAAATTAAGTAGTCTCATTATCAGGGAGAGTTCATGCCAGAACAGTGGTTTTCATCCAGTTGTCTGCCACCACACCATTCCATATACTTCCTTCAGTGATCAAGGGTCACTGCACGAGGGTAACCTATCATTTTAGAGATCAGGACCACATTACATATGTATATGAACAACTGACTATAGCTATGAGGAGAAGCATGCATCAGGGAGTACAAAAGTCATGGATTAAAGTTAAGTGTAGGTCAGCTAACAAACTGGCCGACTTTTATCTAGAAGCAGTACATAGTTTTGTATCTTAGCCACAGTGTTAAATAGTAGCATTGCCATGCATAGATTAATTTGAAGGAGATAATTAAAAGAACACTTTGGAGTAGTGGGGAAAACGTGAGTATTGGGAGAAGGTAGACCTAGAACTGAATCTTTGTGACCCTGGGCAAGTTATTTAACTCTGTTTTCTCAACTATGAATAGTTGAGAGAATAAAACCTTTTAAGGGTTGTTTTACCGATTAGATCTAATGCTCTGGGTAAATGACTTAGGGCCAATAGAGACCTACTACATAGGCTTTAAAGAAAATATTAATTCCTTTTTCAGAGTCCCTGTCTAGTTCATGAGATAGCTTAGGCAAATGAGCCTTAAAAATGACCCCTCTATTATATTGAATTATATTGAAGGCATGAAATATTTAAAAATTATGTTAAATATTTTAAAAATCTATTGAAGGCGTGAAAGTTTTGAAAATGACTGGCTTCATCTTTAGCCAACTTTTTACCAACAAATATTTGAGTGTTTACAGGTCTAGCATTGATCTTATGCTGAAAGGGCAGAAATATTAATGAAAATAGTATAAATCGTCTTTACCTTCAAAATTGCTTACATTGTCATTTATTTATTTGTTTGTTTATTCATTTATACCAGTTTTTGCAGTTATAAATTGAATTTTTTTGTATTCCCCACAGGAAAGCTTAGATATGCAAACAACAGCAATTACAAAAATGATGTCATGATCAGAAAGGAGGTAAGTTCTTTTTGAATGTCTAATTTTCTACATTTAGACCATTTTCTTCATGTCATTTTTGAATTTACAAAAATATACCTAAGGCTGTATTGCTGTAAAGAAGCCAATTTATAGGTTGAAAAGGGAGTCTTTAAATTAGATATAACGGTAGCATGTGTAACAGAAGTAGATGCAATCTGAGTATATTAAGTTGTAGTCCCACTTTTGAACATATAATTTCATTCATTTTATAATTAGTTATGTCTCCTTATCCCACTCCTTATTAAACTAATGGATAGTCAAGATTTAAACACAGTGAATTTTGCATGAAAGGCTCAAAAGTTAGGGCTAAGTAAGAAAAAGTTCAGAGCAGTAACTGGGATATGTACTTGTATTTGCCTCTGTTCACCACACAGATTTTCCAAATCACCATTAACCATTCAGATGTATTTGAGTCCCGTGTTACAAAGCAGATCCAAAGTTTTAAAAGGGGGCTAGTGGAAGTTATTAATTTATTTATTTTAATTTAGTAACAGATATATATTAAAGGAAAGGGCAAGAGAGTTAATAAAGTTGTAAGATGAGTGATTCCCTCCCAACTTGTACTTTTGGAATCAGTATTAGATTTTCCTGTGATACTCTCTGAATATTTAGGTTTTGTAACTTTGTATTATCATTTCATCCTGAGTTGTGGGAAGAAATAGACATTGTGGAATTTTTATTGTAACTTGTTTTCAGGCTTATGTACACAAGAGTGTAATGGAAGAACTGAAGAGGATTATTGATGACAGTGAAATTACAAAAGAAGATGATGCATTGTGGCCTCCCCCTGACAGAGTTGGCCGACAGGTTCGTGTTCAGTGGTTCTTTAGGCATGGTAGTAGAAACTGGTAATATAAATGTTGTGTTTCTACTTATTTATTTAGAATAGATCCTCATTGATTCTTTGGTTTTCCATTTATGTAGTAGGCATCTGATCAGTACTCTTTGATTTTATTTCACTTAGTCTCATTTTCTGTCCTACTTCTGAATAGTAAAGGAGTCAGTGCAGAGCTCTGAATTTAGACATCTTCCTGACGAGTCTTCTATGTAGCTTCATGAATTAAAGTTATGATGTTTTCACACTGTTATGAATAATTTCTATTGTATATTAATTCTATTAAGAAAAAGTACAGTGTGAAATTCAAGACAAGATTCTTATTGACTATAAAATTCACTTTCTTGGGGATCCCTGGGTGGCGCAGCGGTTTGGCACCTGCCTTTGGCCCAGGGCGCGATCCTGGAGACCCGGGATCGAATCCCACGTCGGGCTCTCGGTGCATGGAGCCTGCTTCTCCCTCTGCCTGTGTCTTCTGCCTCTCTCTCTCTCTCTCTCTCTGTGACTTTTAAAAATTTAAAAAACATAAAATTCACTTTCTTCATTTTTATAACTTTGAGAACTCTTATTTGCACCCTTAGGCCCAAGAGAGGGATTTGATTGCGTCTTTGTGCAAACTGACCACCGCATTTGCCTCCTGTTGTTCCCTTCGGAGTAATTAATGTTTCTCAAAGGGCTTCTGGAGAAGTTTGAAGGCTTAATTTCCCTCTGTAGAAAGACAGTTTGATTGGGTCTTTTCAACTCTTGGAGAATTGAAATACAAATCCTGGAGGAAGAAACAGTTAATTTCATTTTTGTATATTCCTGAGGATTATACTTTATATCCCCTTCCTTGACTGGAAGAAAATATGGAGAAATCAAATGCTGATGTTCTGTGCAATCACTTAACTCTTCTATTTAAAGAGGCATTTTTTAGGAAAGCAAAGGTAATAGTTAATAGTATTTATGTGACGTAAACAGTTCTGAAAAGTAACTTTTTAAATCTTGGTTTCTTTTATGCAATAGGTACATATGTACTAAAAAACAGACACTATAACAGCAAATCATTTATCTCTTTTAGACTCAGAGAGAACTCAGTATTTTCATCTACCCACTTGATGATGGGTTTATGTGTTTTGGTTAGTAGGGAGGGGTAGGCATGTTCCAGAAATCATTTATTGGATTTTTAAAAAATTAATTAATTTATTCATGAGAGACACAGAGAGGCAGAGACAGGCAGAGGGAGAAGCAGGCTCCCTGGGGGAACCTGATGCGGGACTTGATCCTAGGACCTTGGGGATCACAACCTGAGGCAGGCGCTCAACTGCTGAGCCATCCAGGTATCCCTATCAATTGGATCTTTAAGTCAAAGATTCTATGATAGTTTGAGAGCCTTAGTTAATTCTCCATTTTGTGCATGTCATAAACTGTGTATAATTAGGTTTCTTGGTCAAAACATAGCTAAAATGTTCTTTAACGGCATTTGGTATTTTACCTGATAAATCACTACACACATAGCCTCTTAATTATTGATTTTAGATTTGCAGATAAAATCTAGGGAAAAATTTATACAATAATTGGGGCACACTAAGAATGTCTGTAATATGTTACATTTGCTTTAGTAGGTATTAATTTTACATGCTTTGTGAAGTCAAACAACTCTGAGTCTCTCAGTCTTAACAGCCCAGGACTCTCATATCAGTACCATCATTTGCTTGTAAATATCACTGTTTTCATAAGCTTTATGAGTCGTTTATGTGTCACTCTTACATACATCATTTATATGTATAGTGTCTTATTTATAATATCTGTGGAAAACAGTCTTAGTTGATCCTAATATTGGGGACTCCTGAGCAGTCAATGGGATTTTTATTTTACAGAGTTTTTATTTTACATAGTTTATGTCTATCAGATCAAGTTTCTTTCTTTTTTCTGTTTTTTTTTTTTTTTTTTTCTCCTCTGACTGCTAGAAAACTTGCAGCTAAAATTGGGATCTCTTGACAACAAGAATTCAGATGTCTCTGAAATGGAGTTTTATATTAACTACATTAATCTATTTTATTTTTTTCAGGAGCTTGAGATTGTAATTGGAGATGAACACATTTCTTTTACCACATCAAAAATAGGTTCTCTTATTGATGTAAATCAGTCAAAGTGAGTATGCTAAAGTATTTTGACTAAATTGATGTAATTTATTTGACAGACTCATTTTAGAAGGAATGGTAGCCATAATCTGGAATTATTTCAATAGTAACTTACCAGTTTATTCTCCAGATATAATTCTGACTTTTATGTCATTAAAGACTTGCTTTGCCTAACCACTTTGACAGTGACTAACAGCGTATTTTTCTGATTTTAAAAAAAAAATCTTAATTTGATCACTATGTATAATAGTGACCAATTTTTTTTTTTTTTTTTGTGACCAAATTTTAATAGCTGTTTTTGGTAAAAATCTGGATAAAGTTTCATAATCTTGTAAAGAAATCCTTATTGATTATATCACCTCAGTAGCTTAATATCACATCATTTTTCTTCTTGAGTTTAACATTTGAAAGAAATTTAATTAATAAATTAATTACTTAGAGGAAGGGAGAAAACAATTAGAGGAAAGGAGAAAAGAATGAATGCATAGTAACTGTTATATACAAAAGGCTAGGTTCATCAAGCCCAACCAGATTTTTGAACTATCCATTGATTTTCCCACAGTTAGGGAGGATGTGGCATTCATACCCTAACTGGGATCTTAAATTGGTACAGTTTTCTTTGGAAAGCAGTGTGATGATTATACATGAAAAACTGTTAAGATTGTAAACTCATCTTTGACTTAATAATTTCATTTCTGAACATCTATTTTAGGGATATACTGTCAAAGCAATGAAAAGGCTTTATTATTCAAGAAAATGGTCACTAAAGTCTTATAATTGGGAAGAAATCAAAAGGTCTTAACAAAGAATTGTTAATTAAAAGTCATTTGTGAATTGTTTTTAATGTAACCAAAAAAGTAATGTTAAAAAGAGCACAGGGAATGATTTTAGTTATGAAAATAGAGAAATGCCAAAATATTTATAGTTATTCTGTGAGGAGTGACATTTAATAGTATTATGAGTATTATTTTTTCTATCTTTATAATTTTATATACTTTCTCTGTTCTTGATATGTATAGCTATTACTTTTATAAGAAAATAAATACTTAAATATGTAATGAATACTGGTGAAGAAAATTTATATTTTTTTTGTAGAAAATCCAGAGATAATTGTTTAGTTTGTTCATTTTAGTTGAGACAGATCCTTCCTTTCTCCTGAATGCCTTTGTTTTGGTTTTTGTTTTGTTTTGGGAATTAACTTTAAAATTAAGTGTTTTATTTTAGGAACGAAATAATAACTTTTATCTTTTTAAATTTTAGGGATCCTGAAGGCCTTCGAGTATTTTACTATTTGGTACAGGACCTGAAATGTTTAGTATTTAGTCTTATTGGATTACATTTCAAGATTAAACCAATCTAAATTGTATGTTTTTGAAGCTGTTTTTATATTTAATTAGGGGTTTGTCATTTACACTATTGGGATTTTTATAAATGTGAAACTTTTTTTTGTATGCCAACTAAAAATAAGAAAATACATAAATAGGCTAATGGTTATTCTCACTTGGGTCCAAGTGGTTAGACAGTCCTCACACATGAAATTCTGTAAATAAAAGCAACCTTTTGTTGAGAGTTTGCTCTAATAAAACATATCAAAGCCTGAATGGAGAGTGATTTTTTTGCTTTTGTTCTTTTTTTCACAAGGCCAAGTCTGTTTATTCAGTTTAAGATAATAAAGAGTTGTTTTAGTAGGTACATCCTATGCCAGAAGTTCTTTCAGGCAGAAATATTTTGCTAGATTTTCATTCATTAAAGGCAATTGTAATCTTCCTTTATTTCTTCCATACCTAATGGGACTTAATTTTTGGTGCCTCTAGTAGTTGGTTTTTTTTTTTTTTTTTTTAAGATTTTATTTATTTATTCATAGACACAGAGAGAGAGAGAGGCAGAGACACAGGCAGAGGGAGAAGCAGGCTCCACACAGGGAGCCCGATGTGGGACTCGATCCTGGGTCTCCAGGATCACACCCCAAGCTGCAGGCAGCGCCAAACTGCTGCGCCACTGGGGCTGCCCTAGTAGTTGTTTACAGCAGGTTTTTACATTTATCACAACCTTACAGAAATTATTGGAATTTAAATATTTTTGGCATAGTCAGTAATTGCCTACAGTATTACAAGAGTGAAGTCAGCACTCCAAGTTAAACATATCTTTTATTATGCCTTTATTCCTTTTTTTTTTAAGATTTTATTAATTTATTCATGAGAGACACACAAAGAGAAGCAGAGACACAGGCAGAGGGAGAAGCAGGCTCCATGCAGGGAGCCTGTTGTGGGACTCGATCCTGGGACTCCAGGATCACGCCCTGGGCCGAAGGCAGACACCTAACCACTAAGCCACCCAGGGATCCCCTCCTTATTTCACAAAAGATTTTATCAATAAGATATTTCACAATATATTGTATTTTTGTAGGAAATAAGTTCTCAGCATTATAAGTTATTAAAAATTGAGACTTTAATGCACATGTTCGTGTCTATGTATTCTAATTATAAATGAGCATAGGTTCAACTCATGATTTTCAGTTCCCTGCAACCTCTTGCTGATAGACTTGATCTTTAATTACTTCCCCTGTTAGTAACTATGCCCCAGGTATTGTTCTTCCTCCATCTGAACCTCTACTTTTTAAAAGTGTGCCATCCTGGTAGTGATAATTCACTTGCCCTGTGGTCAGTCCGGACTTACTGGGTGACCTCATTGGTAGAATTGGTCTCTGAAGGTTTGCCAGTACTCCTGAGCTTTGTTCTAGTGACTGTCCACTCAACTTCTTTGAGAAAATAGAGATGTTCTGCATCTGTAGTCCAATAAGGTAGCAACATAAGTACTTGAGATGTGGCTAGTCTAAGTGAATTTATAGTCCTATTCAATTAAAAATATTTTTCAAAATTATGAAAGATTTCAAGTATAAAACTTGTTACAAGAATTGTAAAATGAATACAACCACTCTAGATTCTATACTTAATAATATTTACTGAAGTAAATCTCTTCTAAATCCTGTCCTGTTGATTTTTCACTTAAGAATAAAATAACTGGTGTAATTGGTGTCAACAGGCCACTTTTTAGTGCTATGTAGTTTTGATCAAATTTAGATAGCCGGTGTGCCTTGTGCCTATCCTTTGGACATTGTAGCTGTAGAGCATTTCTTGGTATCCTGTTTGCCATGTAATCCTGTTTGATCTTGCACATTGAGTGAAAATGTATAGCCGTCATCCAGGTTTGCCCTGGAAAGTTGCCTGATCTCCACTGTGCAAGATGATACTGTTATCACCTCCAGGTCTCTTATGAAAAGAAACATTTCTGTTCAAGTTGTAGACATTGATATGCAGTGTAAAATCATGTAATTTTCTTATACTTAGGTGCCAACCTCAAGGAGAAAGGGAGAAACAAGTGCGCTTTTAACCTGTGTGCCCACAATGTTTGGTTGCTCCTCAAAATAACTGTTTTGTGGCTCCTGAGTAAGACATTGATAAGATGATCAAGCTGGAACAATGTTGGGAGTAATAGTCCTTAGATTAAAACATCTTTAACGTGTTACTCCTTGTCTTCATTCTCAGCACTTCCAGTGCTGACTTAACTTGTTATGCTCTGTCCCCACTGTCTGCTGAGTTTCTCCTATTCAAACCAAGATTGGAGGCTAGGTCAGTAAGATAAATATTTTATATTGTCTCTGATTTATTCTTTCTTTCTTTCTTTTCTTTCTTTCTTTCTTTCTTTCTTTCTTTCTTTCTTTCTTTCTTTCTTCTTTCTTTCTTTCTTTCTTTCTTTCTTTCTTTCTTTCTTTTTCTTTCTTTCTTCTTTTTTCTTTCCTCTTTCTTTTTCTTTCTTTTTTCTTTTCTAAAGACTATTTATTTGAGATAGAGTGAGGATGAGTGGTGCAGAGGGGCAGTGGTAGAGAGAGAAGCAGACTCCCTGTTGAGCAGGAAGCCTGAGGCAGGACTCCATTCTAGGACATAGAGATTATGGAGCTGAGCCAAAGGCAATGAATGCTTAACTGATGAGCCACCAAGGTGTCCCTGTCTCTGATTCCTATACCTTAATTGAACTGGCTCTTACTTGATTTTATGCTGTTGTGGACAGTGATCACTAACAAATTTTGTATAATGCTAGTTTTGTGTGAAACTAGAATACTACAGCACTCAGGTCCACAGATACGTTTTCCCTTCCCCTCCTCCCCATCATAAAGAGACTTCTTGCAATAATCAAAACTTATTTCCCAAGTATTGGTTCTGTGCCCCATCCTTCCTTTGCTCCTTTATGGGTTGGAGTGTTGCTTCCCATCACTTAGCACAATATTTTCCATGAAGTAGGTGCTTTGCAAAAGTTGACATCTGGTTGTCTTTTGTACTTACTGCCATCAGATTATTTGCCTTTGTAACTTAGTCTGATCTGGGTGATTAATTTCTTTCGTAATGGAAAACCTTTCAGTTACATTGAACTTTGCAAATGTGCATACTCCTGCCACAGAGTTGTATATTCAAACACTTTGGATAAGGTTGTGTCTTTTGGATGTGGTCCAACTGTGATCCTAATTTTTTGAGTAGAGCACTTTAATGTTGCTTAACCAAAGCAATAGATGATGGCACAGCAAAGAGGAATGGTGAGAATTGGGATGATCTGTCAGCCTCTACCATTCTATTTTATTTTATTTTGAGTTTCCAGGTTTTGTGCCTCTGCAGCTTATAGTTTAGAGTGCAGGCAGGTATTTCGTTGATACCAGGCTGAGGGTATACATATGATCACTTTAAGTATAAATTTAAATGATAGCTAAATTGTTATTTTGTATATCCTATTGCTAGACTATTTTGTTTTGAAATACATGAAACTTGTGAACATGGGTTGTACTGTAAGTTCAACCACTAATCCCTGTGATGTTTTTTTAAAGACTTTTTTTAGGAGCAATTTTGGGTTCATAGAAAAATGAGAGGAAGGGACAGAGATTTCTCATATACTCCAATGTCACCCATCCATAACCTCCTGTTACCAACATTTCCCACCAGAGTTTTATATTTGTTACATTTGATGAGGCTCTATTGACTTCATAATCACCTAAAGCCCATAGTTTTCATTAGGGTTCACTCTTGGCAGTGTACATTGTATGGGTTTGGGCAAATGTGTAATGATACATATCTATCCTTATGGTATCAGGGCTAGTATTTTCACAACACTAAAATTCCTCTGTGCTCCATCCATTTCTCCCTACCCTCATCCCCTACCCTCATCATCACCACTGTTCTTTGTATTGTCTCCATAGTTTTATCTTTTCCACACTGCTATATAGTTGGAAATCTGCAATATGCAGATTTTTCAGATTTACTTCTTTTATTGGTAATACACATTTAAGTTTCCTTCATGTCTTTTCATGACTTGATAGCTCATTTCTTCTTATTTTATTCATTTATCCAGTGAAGGACATTTTGGTTGCTTCCAGATTTTGGCGATTTTAAGTAAAGCTCCTATAAACATCTATGTGTAGGTTTTTGAGTGAACATCAAATTTGTTGATTATTTTTAATAATTGGCTTCCTAGCATTATATGGTAATGAGCTAGAAGATAAAATCCACAAAATTTTTTTTTTAAATCCACAAAATTTAATAAAAGATAAGCAACAAAGGTAAATGAATGATTTAAGGGTCTGAACTATTTGAAATAGTGGAGGGAACACTAATTGAATCATCAAATTCATAATTATCCCTCTACTTTGCAGACCTGTGAATAGACAGGTTTTCTTTTAGTGGCAGAGAGCCCAAATAGCCCTCTGTAGAACTTTGGTTGCCATACTTTTCTCAAGCTCACTTATTTCCTAAGGTGGTCTTCTCATTTAGTTATTTAGAAATTGGAGGAAGGGTGCATACTATTTGACCCCTGAAGGGAAGTTGGGCTCTTATAAAGGATTTTAACTCTAGGGCACTTGATAAGCTTTTATTGTAAAAAAGGAAGGAGAAATGTAGTAGCTAATTAGGGGAACTGGAAACTCAAACAAGGGCTGTTGAGTGTTTACAGCAAGAACCAGAAATTTAGCATGTCATAAAGGTTAGGCATTGAGTCTAACTGTGGAGGTGGGAAACTGGCTAGGTGAGGTTCTCTTCTCACTTAGAGGGATGTAGACCATCTTTCCCTGGGAGCCAGTGTTTCTTCTAGACATCCTTCACTTTGGCCTACAAGTGTAAGAACAGCAAGCTGCTGTGAAATGATAGGCCTTTGTGGTTTGAAGGTGTGACCAGAAAACTTTATGGTGTGATAGAAGCTGTGAACTAAGCTAGCTGACAAAGCTAATATGGTCAGTAAGGGTTGCTGTAAAATATCTGGTGTCCCAAGTGAAAAAAGGCTTTATAGCAAAGCAGCCAGGAAGTAAATAAATGAATGCTTTATATATTCCTAGTGTGTATATGTGTTTGCACGTAAGTGAATTTGGAAGACAGTACAATCAACATTCAAAATATTCTTCAAATTTTCATTTTCTGTTTTATAAACTAGTATTTGTGACAGATGAGGTTTGGTGCTTCCAGTTTTGTGCTGCTTTGATCAAAAGGCCATGCTAGGAGTTTCAATTAGTCCCCGCTGAAGTCGCTGCCATTATTATCTGATGCTGCTTGTCTTCTCTTT